CAAGGAATGATTGTATATACACAGTTCTACAAATCTGAATTTTTTCAATCAAACGGTCATCATATAAGTTTTAATACATGTCTTGTAACATTTTTCCCTTGGATTTAGTAGGAGAGAGAAAAACTAGGCAACTCCGTGACAAACCATTTTAGTGATTATAAACACAGATGGATGGTGGCTAGCAGTGGAATCCAGTATGCGAGCTGCGTCTTATATAGGAGTCGTCAGTTAGATCTTACTTCCATCCCAGAGTTGACGTTTACACTGAGACTCGAGCCCAGTACCGTTGGCTCCAAACGCCATCTCGTCATACACTTAGTTACTAAGTCCTGATAGCTACTAACTTGTACAATGGGATGAGTCCCAAATAGAACAGAACACACTTCCTGGATTCCAGTGCTAGCCACTAACCATCTCTACTGATAATCATTTAAAAGAATATCAAGGTAATCCGCACAAAATGTACATATGCCAATAAGAGATTGATCAATTTCAATCCTAAACATCAATGGAAAGATTCAAACAACCGATATAAAATGTATTTCAACGATGTTATAACTAGAATACTGATTCCTATTTACAAATGACCATATGTAATTCCTTCAAGCATTCTTTCTCATTCATATTTTAAATCATTTCAAACCGTCGGTGTCAGTGTTATTCCAGATGAAAGATGGAAATTATTTTTAATTTTTAACTTTAAGCATTTCAGTCTCAACATTCTGCAAATGAACATTCTTTACCTACTACGAGCATGGTTCCAGAAACATAATCAACATACTAATATTAAAGTTATATATGAATATTATCGTTAAAATGTTCTGGTTAGCGTTTTTCTTTCTAGCAAGATTGTTTTCTACGGAAAGAGGATCTGATACAGACGTAAAAGTGAGTATTGGTAAAGAAAAGACAGAATCACAACAGTTGAAGAGCATATAAAACTCCAAACAACTGTCTCTCAACCAATATCAAAGTCAGAATCTTCAATACGAACATCAAGAAGGTACAAGTATTTATAAATATTTGTCTACGTACAATACTTAAAATCCGTTGGCCAGATACCATCAGCAACAACCTACTGTGGGAGAGAACAAACCAGTTCCCAGCTGAAGAGGAAATTATGAAAAGACGATGTAAATCATGAAACACTTCGTCAAGAACTGTAAGCAGATATGATAAGTATGGATATTAAATGGAAACAACTGAAAAGTATTGCTCAGGACAATGTTATATATAGAAAATCATGATAGATAGCCTATGTTCATTCATAAATGTTAACAAGTGTAAGCAAGTAAGTAATCATTAAAAGATATTCATTAAATATATTACATCATCATTAATGTATATATCCATATGGTTTAATCAATCTGTCATTTGACTAGTTAATATTCAATCATCATTAATACATTATTTATTGTACATATTTCTTGGACATAATGTGTATACACGTCACTTTTGATATATGTAAATAGTATAATGATAGTGAAATATCTAGTTAGTTACTTAGATGATATAATACACACTTCAATTAAAGGGATAAAATATAAAAAAATCAATAATTAATCAATCAATTAATTAATTAATGTCAATCATTTTGAATGATTCTGGTATAAGAAATTAATAAAATTTACTATTTTTATAATATGTCTATAATAAAATTGTAAATACATATGTCAGAAGGGGTATTGTGGATAATATAGAAATTTCAATGGTTGAGATGATGTGTCAATTGAAGCTAGAACATGATGGAAAACTTGGAAGCACTGGACGGTCGTTTCATTCTATTGTGAGACTCTTCACCACTGCGCATCCACAATCCTTCTCCCCTTGCCAGATTCGAACCCAGGACCTATCAGTCTCGTGCGCGAGCGCTTAACCACTAGAACACTGAGCCAGCATCCAACGGTGTTATCGTCTAACTTCAACTAATCCAAGAAATCGAGAGACAAATCGACCATTGTCATCAGTGAGTTACTATCTCACAACAGACCTAGTTGAACTCCATTGGTCACTTCTTCTCACTAGAACTCCAGAATATACATCTTGAAGCCAATCACTAGTGAGCATATATTAATTAATATCAGAAGGGGTTTTGTTGAGGTTGTATTAATTCCAATGGTTGAGATCATGAGTCCTGGGTTCGAATCGCGCGGGGGGCGAGATCTTGGATGCCTACTGCTGAGGAGTCTCATACTAGGAAGTAACGGCTGTCCAGTGCTTCTAGGTTTTCCATGGTGGTCCAGCTTCAACTGACACATGATCTCAACCATTGAAATACATATGTAATTGCTTATAATGTATTTAACACTTTTCCCAACCATTGTTACTACTTTGACATGGTAGTTAGGCTTGTTTGTCGTGATGAATCATTCGACCTATACTCTTGGCTGGAATCATTATTTTTCAAATACTTCAAACTTTAAAGGGGTTAATAACTATTTATTAAGCTACGATGGACGCAACAAGAAAAAATAGACAAGTTGCTCAGTTTCTATCATTTATCAATAACTGAAATGTAATGAAAATGTAGATACCATCGTGTCATCCTTTTAAGTGACCTGAAGAATAATTGAGTCTGATGTATGATCTCATAGAACTATTATTATGTGAGATATTTAACCCACCTAAGTTAACAGTGGTAAAGTAATGGATTGATCCAAAGTTTTAATACAATCCTATATAAAATATATCACAGTAGAAATTCAAATTACGTGTAGAAACAATACCAACGTATAGACTAATAATTTAATGTATTAACTACTATACTAACCGCTTTCCGTCAATTCAATTCTTACAGATGTAATTTTTCATTTAAAGTAAATATATTGATTGTTTCTGGTTAGTGGTTTTTTTAGTGAATTTTCTATGGAATGGGGTCGCCAAACCCATACCCAACCATTCTCCTTTATTTCGGTTCGGGACCGGTAACAGCCCCAGAGAGGTTCATGGTGATCTACTGGATCATGAAGAGGTCATCATCTGGGGGGAAGCATGGGGTATAGTGGACATCTAGGATGCAGCTGCACGATCTGAACTCCACAGATGATCTGGCTCTTCTATCTCACATGCAATAAGAAAAGCAGGAGAAAAAGATCAGTGTAGCAGCCGCCTCAACAGCAGTAGGTCTCAACATACACAAAGGGAAAAGCAAGATACTCCAATACAACAAAACACCCATCAATCAAACCACATTTGACGGAGAAGATTTGGAGGATGTAAAATTCTTTACATATCTGAGCAGCATCATTGATGAGTGCGGTGGATCTGATGCGAATGTGAAGGCGCGGATCGGCAAATCAAGAGCTCCAACCATCCCAAAATCTAAATGTACGTATTTTTGATGTTGACTTACAAGCACCGAACCATATCAATGTATACTAGAATGGTTTCACACAATACAAAATGATGTAGGTTAATAACCTTTTAAACTTACACAAGAATCGTTAAGGTTTTCTCTAAGATGTGTTACTCTCCCTGAAGCTCTCTAAGGTTACTGCCAGTCCTGAGCCCGGATAAAGGAGGAGAGTTGGGCGTGGGGTTAGCAACCCAATTCCGTAGAAAATTAAGTCGCCAAAAACGATAAGTAAGTAAGTAAGTAAGTAATTGTTATTCATCATGAGAACTCTTTCATTATCAAATCACATATACATATACTGCTGGAGTGTGCTTCAAACAGATTTAACCATTCAATTCGTATATTTAGCCTTTTAATATTAAACAATGTAACGAGTTAAAGAAAATAAACAAAGTTAGTAGAAGATCTTTTACAAAAAGAGCCAGATTAAGCCTATAAAATCTCTCAGCTAGAGTGATTTACATTCCAGAATTCCATCAATTTACTATAAGGTACGATTCTAATCACCTCTGTAGTAAGCCAACATTAGTGACAGTACAATTTTATATACTTAACCGAGATTTTAAGAGCATTTTTATTATTAAGTGGTGTCAGAAAGAGAAATATTCAATACATATATGTTTGTAATAAGTGTCCAGTGTAAACAAAGTAGTTCATCAGTGTTTCTTCACTTTCGTACGGTTTTGCAGCTAAAGTTAGTTCTTGATGAAAACGCTTTCTGTTATCATCAAGCCTATGTTTATTTAAATGTTTGTTTTCAACTGATCTCATTACATATCCCCCTACAGAAACTGGTTGCTTTAGTTTTTTGTAGACTCTTTATCTTTCTGAACAACTCCATCCTGATGGTTCAAATATCGGCCTTATCGCACAGTACAGCTCTGTAATTTTACTAACAATGTAATTCATCTAGCTTTTCTATACACCTTGTAGAGATGAAGAGCTCATCTCGTAGCATTATATGTAAAACTGCCTCTTGCGACAACTAAAAATTTTTATCAATATGAAGTTGTGGAAATTATTAAGTTTTTGATTGAGATCATGAAGAATCGATTGATGTTAGATTACCACAGTTGAAAACCAGGAAGCACTGGACGGCGCTTTCATCCTATTGTGGGACTCTTCAGCAGTGCGCATCCATGATCACGATCGAGAGGTTCGAACCCAGGAATCTTCGGTCTCATGCGTGGACGGTTCACCTCTAGACCACTGAGCCAGTATTCAATGGTGTTAATGTCTAACACCAACCAATCCACGAAATAGCGCGACCATCTTCCACTGTACTGAAGTCGATACCTAATATTTACCCAACAACGATTAGCTCTATTGGTCACGGATTCTCACAAAAACTCCGAGAATTTACTCACGGAGTCTCCATAACCCCATACTGATAATTACCGTACGCTCACTAGTGAATAGCTTTGTGCACTGCTGTGAAATTCAACAATAGAACGAAACGGCCTTACAGTGCTACCATGTTTTCAATGGTGGTCTAACATCAATCGGTCCATGATCCCACGTAGATCCACATAGAAAATTGATGATCAACATCTTAAAAAACGAGAAACATTTTCAACTTAATCACAGATAAAATTCAATAGCATTCTTCATAATGGTTGTGTTTTTTTTTTAATGAATCACTTACTTCGGTATCATCAGGTGAAGTTTGTAAATAATCTCCAACCTCGCCATTTAATACGTCATGTTTTTTTGAGCATTCATTACTTTGAATCAAATTATTCTCATTATTGATCATGACAGAATGACTTCTTGGTCCAACCATTTCATATGCTCTACTTAACATTGATAAAAGTGTAACAGTTGAATTTACAGTATTGGAATTTGTTCTATTTGTATGATTTAATTGTATATTAGAACCTGAGTAACGTTTACCATGAATAGGTGAAAAATTTGGTGATATACTATTACGTTTATGAAGAAAACTATGTAAAGGTAATAAGTTTTTATTAATATTACCATCATTATAACAATTGGCTAATCCACCATGTTCATTTAATTGACAACGTGCTTTAGATGATAAACGACCTCGACGACCTTTAAGACTATCCCGACGAACGACTAATGAAATGAAAAAAAGAAATAATTAAAGTTAATTCAAAATTATACTTTGCAGTAGGACATTTTTAATAAAAATATTACGTAGATTTCTTACAAGAAACCAAAATACTTCGGATCCATTGGCCAGACACTATCAACCACAACCTACTGTGAGAGGAAAGAAAGCAAATTCTAGCGTTGGAAGAAATCAGGAAAAAGTGATGGAAGTGGATAGGACACACATTGAGGAAAGCAATCAACTACGTCACAATGCAAACCCTCACTTGAAATCCTCAACGTAAAAGGAGGAGAAGTGGAAGACCAAAGAACACATTACGTCGAGACATGGAGACAGATATGAGAAGAATGTCGAACAATCTGATAGAAGTAGGAAGGAAGGCAGAATGGGAAAGTGTGTTTTGGAGAATGCTGTTCGGTGGCCTATGCTCAATTGCGAGTAACAAGCGTAAGCAAGTAATGTAAATTTCTGAGTGAACTAAAAGAAATTATCAATCAAAAAATCACTAATAATTTAGAAGAATTGCAAACTATTTAGTAATTCACTAAATTTCCTTAACAATCCACGACTGGAAACGTTCTGGGATCAAATCTAGGAACTATAATTATTTCAACAATAATCATGTATTCACCGTTGACTAAGATTTAGGAAATTCTCGGACTTTATATTAATGAACTTCATGGAAATTTTGATTGAGAACAGCTAGTATTGATGTACAAACAAATATTTCTAAATTGTTCATCCTGACAACCATATTCTGATTAGAAAAACCTATCAATCAAATTCCATTCGTTATATGAATTATTTATATTGTTCACTTCTTATTGTTTGTTTGAATCTTCCCATTGTTAATTAGGACTGAGATCGATCAGTCTCTTATTGGTATATGTCCATAGGGATGATGAAGAAGATTTGTAGTTTAAATGGATGATTTTTATAGAGTTTTGTTCTCTCATCTGAATGGTATGGTCGTGGAGCTTTCATCGTTCTCCTTGATGACATCATCAGTACAAACTTCAGGTAAAAGTGAAATGGTCGAATTTCTTCGTATGTGTAGAACATAACATAAATCTTGCATATAATAATAATAGTAAAATAATCACGAAGAACCTAATTAATAAGTATTAGGTCATATTGTGTGATGAATTTGTCACACCCCTTGGAGTAATCTTTCGAAAACAAATCGTTAGAGACGTTTTCCTTAGACAATAGCAAGACAGTCTATAAATGTCCCTCCTTTAGAGTTAGACAAATCTATTGAGTAACAAGTTTCAACTCATAAGTGAGTATATACCACCGTAGCTTAACAAAGACAACATAAATGTCAGATGGTCATCGAACTTTTCTAATCATGCCAATAACAAAAAAATATTGTCACTTTACCGTGAGCAAACACAAAACTTTTGCTAGAACAACAGGCTTATAATAATTTCGCTTAACAATATTGTAAAGATAAGGATTATGTACGATTGAAAGTGACAGTACGTTTTAAAACTAAAGATATATAATTATTATCAGTATGGTGGTTGTGGAGATTGTTAAATTTCTGGTTGAGATCATGAACCGATAAATTTTAGACCATCATTAAAGACCTGTAAGCACAGGACGGCCGTTTCGTCCTATTGTGGGACTCCTCAGAAGTGCGCATCCACGATCTCGCTCGCGGGATTATTATTCGCTCATGTTAAAATACTTCTATTCATTAACGAGACTACAATTTATAGACGAACCAATCAGATTTAGAATTTTGGCTTGAAATTCATTCATCCATTTAGCTTAATAACATTTTGGCATTTTCGACTGATATCAGTTCATGATGAAAATCTTAAATCTAATTCCTAATCTTAACCATCAACTAAATCATAATCTTTATTCATCACACAGGTCTATAACCCTCATTCTCAAGATCACTTCAGCGTTGCTCTAAGTTCATTCATAAATTATAGTCTCATCCCTCCCCTATCGTCTACTATATAAAACAAATAATAATCAATAAAATAATCTAAAATTACTAATCTTAGCAACTGTAATAAATTTTTTTTATCATTATTTCCTAAAAATGTTTCAGCTATGTGAAGTTTTTACAAAGTTGTAACTATGACAACAACAACAATAAGAAATGAAAGTATCATTAACCACATTGAAAAAATACGACATGATTGTTTTCCATTGAAACAACAACAAGAGAATTACTTATCTTGTACTACTAAATAAATTATATGATTATGTCATTGTCGGAACACAATATCACCATGATACAAAACAGTATAGAAAGCTCTCTCGAATTTAGCACAAACACACACATACACACATACATATATATACATACATAGACATACGAATACATTTACATGGTAAGCTTCTTTTAGATTAGTCTGTATTATGTTTCCTATTTTAAGTTCCATTTATTTTCTGTTACAAACATTCTCTACTTATTTTATTTTGTCTTACCGTTTTGCTTTGATTACAATGAAGTAGAAAAAAAAAAGAAAAGAAACAAAAAAAGATAAAAAAAAAGGAATTATCCCATTTATTTATATTCGTAAAATTACAAAGTAAAGTAGAAATAAATAGACAGATGAAGGTGAATTTCATTTTTCATTATTCAATAGTATCTTCCATTTACCATTCATGATAAATAATTCATACATATGTAAGCGAAAGAAAAATTGTGGAGAAAATAAATCACTTTCAGTCTGGTATGCTATCACCATCATCATCACCAACATCATCATCTTCATCATCACCGTAACCATTACAAACATCATCATCATCATCATCGTCATCGTCATCATCTTAAACATTGTTACTTATTATTGATAAGCAGAAAACCAAAGGGATATTAATATTAGTTAAGTGAAAGAGATAGTTACTAATGATAATGATCGAATAGGTTAGTTAGTTTGTAAATTGACAAAAAGCACACACACACATACACACGCACAAAAGAAACAAAACAGTATCATATACAAAATGAAATTTGAATAAAATATATATGAAAAGAAAAAAAGAAGAGAAAAAAAGGAAAAAAAAGTGGAAAATGTTGAGAGGAAAAAAAGAAAAAAGAAAAGAAAAAAGAGAAACGTCAGAATTTATTCTTTTATATCATGTATACCTATTTATGTTACTTAAAAATTTGATGCATTTTCTTATTTCTATAAAGAAAACTGAATACAATTTTACTTTTAAAGTAACCAAGTATGTTTTTTTCCATTTTCTTCTACATATATGTTCAGATTATGTATGACTAGTCATTTGACTATACTGTTATGTTACTACGCTAGTGTGTGTGTGTGTTTGTGTGTGTAGTGTGTTGTTGTGGGTGGGTGGGTGGTTATGATTTTGTGCCTATTCATAAGAGTCAAAATTAGCACTCGTTTAATAAATGATGGTAAATTGAAACCTTAAAAATGGACTCGTCTATAAAGAGTATTTAGGTTATTGCAAAGTTCCCTCTTTCTTTTTCTTTTTTGTCATTTTTTTTTCTTGGATAAAATATAGAAAATTGAATTTTTGTTTTAACACAATTTATTATTATTCTTAATTGACATAATTAAATTTTCTTTTTGTTCATTTATAATTACTAAAAAATAAGTGACATAAATATTACAGTTTATATTGAATTAAAACGACGATATATAGTTTATTAAAAAGAAGCCTTCAAATGCTTTGGTACGGCCGAGAGTGGGGAGGGTCAGCTCTCCCTCTCCAAATTCTCTCACATGGCTACGTGCATACACCTACTACCAGGGAAGTCCTACTCACTGCCTTCTTGTGGTACTACTGATGTTTACGAAATTGAGAGGACGAAAAGTGAATGTCCGGCGCTTTAACCGGATTTATGTACACAGAGAGTTCACTTAGGGGAGTTGAGAAACCCTGATTACAAACCAGTGATGCACATTGGCTCCAGGATCCTGAGGGAATAATTGGCGTATGAATAAATCATTGGTCACCGGCTGTCATTGGACGGCATCTCCTTACGATGCCCCACTGTCTCGTGGATGAGGCCTTCAGGTGGAAGGCTCCGGGCGTGGTCCCCTAAGCGAATCACCTGCTTCGATTTGGGAGCCCGAACACTATCACAGCCCTCACACAAATCAGATGAGATTCATATGGCGCATATGTATCTGGTGCCTCCTTGTACCAGTATTTATGTGTTGAAATAAATAAATGAACAAATTATTCATTATAAACTGATATATACCATAGAGAATTATTTAAAACTAATAAAATAATAGATAATAGAGTTGTTGCTAAATATAGTGGATTAGTTGAAGTTAGAAATTAACACCGTTGAATGCCAGTCGGATCAATGGTCTAATGGTTAAGCGCTCGAGCATGGGACAGGTGTGTCCTGGGTTCGAATCTCACGAGGTGGGATTATGTATGTGCACTGTTGAGGAGTCCTACAATAGGACAAAACATCTGTCCACTGTTTCTAGGTTTTCCATGATGGTCTAGCTTTAATTAACTCATCATCTCAACTATTAAAATTACAGTAATATCCAAAAAGTCCCTTCTGATATTAATAGATATCTGTTTTAGTACTCTATTAAAATATTCCATCAAAAAAAGCCCATAATATTGACCTTTGAAACTTTCAATCTTGTAACCAGTGAACTGGAAGTTTTCAATTATATCTAAAAACCAATCTGGCAAATCTCAATTTAAGTTAATTTATATGGTTTATATCTATAAATTAGGATATTAATGAGTAAATTATGATACATAAATCATTCCATTAGACATTGTTGAAAAGTAAGAAAAAAAGTGGACATTATTATAAAAAGGGTTTTGTTAAACCGAATGAATGACTCCGTAGATGCCTAACTTCGAAACCAACAGGCTGGATTCCGTAAGGATGAATCATGTACCAACCAAATCGCAACACTACGGATCATTGTGGAACAAACAATTGAATGAAATTCACCACTCTACATCAACTTCATTGACTACTAAAAAACATTCGACAGCTTGAATAGGACCGCATTGTGGAGGCTTCCTCGACACTACGGGGTGCCTGAGAAGATAGCAAATATCATACGGAATTGCTATGATGGATTAAACTATATGGAGAACAGCTGACAGACTGGTTCGAAATAAAGACCGGTGTTAGGCAAGGTTGCTTACGCTTAACCCTGCTCTTTCTCTTTGTGACCGACTGGATCATCTGGGGGGAAGCATGGGATATAATGAAAAGCTAAAATGTAACTGGACGATCTAAATTTCGCAGATGATCTGACTCTTCTATCTCACATACATCAACAATTTCAAGAGAAGATGACCAGTGTAGTAGCAGCCTCAACAGCAGTAGGACTCAACACACACAAAGGGAAAAGCAAGATCCTCCAATACAACACAACACCCATCAATCAAACCACATTTGACGGAGAAGATTTTGAGGATGTAAAATTCTTTACATATCTGAGCAGCATCATTGATGAGCACGGTGGATCTGATGCAGATGTGAAGTCGCGGATCGGCAAAGTAATACTCACATAAATACAATTGAACAACAGCTTGAACTCAAAACAACTGTCCACAATCCAACACCAAAGTCAGAATTTTCAATACAAATGTCAAAACAGTTCTACTGTATGGGGCAGAAACCTGGAGAACTACGAAAGTCATCATCTAGAAGAAACAAGTGTTTATTAACAGTTGTCTACACAAAATACTTCAGACCCATTGGTCAGACACTATCAGCCACAACCTACTGTGTTGGAAGAAATCAGTAAGTAGTGATGGAAGTGGATAGGACACACATTGAGGAAAGCACCCAAATATGTCACAATGCAAACCCTCACTTGAAATCCTCAACGTAAAAGGAGGAAAAGTCGAAGATCAAAGAATACATTACGTCGAGAAATGGAAACAGATATGAGAAGAATGTAGAACAATCTGATAAAAGTAGAAAGGAAGGCAGAGTGGGAGAGAGTGTTTTGGAGAATGCTGTTCGGTGGCCTATGTTCAATTGGGAGTAACAAGCGTAAGTCAGTTAGTGATTATAGAAATGGGGAATATTAAGCATATTTAACTGACTGATAATATTTAGTAATCTTAAGAGTTTAGAAAAGAAAGTGAATGCTGATAAAAATGAGATTATGTAACATAATGGTTCTTTGTAATCAACAAATTCGTATGCTAAACTACATTTACATTAATGAGCACAACTCAATTTTCAATCCATTAGTGATATAATTGCCATGAAAGAAAAAGAAAAATGGTAATAATAATACATATTGCTTACGAATTTCATAATCAATATTCATTAAATTTGAATAAACTAACCTTCTTTAACCATTCCAACTTTTAAACACTTTTGAAATCGACAATATTGGCAACGATTACGTCGACGTTTATCTACTACACAATTTTTAGCTTGAAGACATACATATTGTGCATTTTTTTGAATTGTCCTCTAATAAAAAAGAAAACAAAAAATATAATGTTACTCATATGCTTATCTACAAACGTGTCAAGATATGACATTGGTTTAAAGTAATAGCTTATAATCACCTTTCAATTTATAAAACTCCACATGTAGCTCTTCTAGAGTTACTGTCGGTCTCAAGGACGGATAAAGGAAGAAGGTTAGGTATAGTATAGTAACGACCTCATCCTGTAGAAAACTAACTCACTAAAAAAAACGCTTATTATTTCAGCAAGTTCCCTTTTCTTATTTCTTGATCGATCCTTGCGATAAATATTGAGTAATCGCCAGCTAGAAGTTAGCAGTCCAGTAAATCGATATCGAAAGAGTGTATATTCATTTTCGATGCACATTACCAGTAACCATTATGTCTCTGATTAAGCTGGTTTATAAGTTGTACAACGAAAAGTTGTGAACTATTCACGAATTCAACTGAATAGGTTATAAGACTAATAGACATAATGATGTATTAAAACAAACAAGAAAATAGATAACTTGTTGAAATATCTATATCATAAGAATAGATAGCTCAAATATTCAAATAGACCGCCTAGTTACTACCTTTCAAGTTAATAATTCACATGAGTATTTAATCACAAGAGCTCTTCTCGATCCCATTCTCAAAGTGCTAACATTAAATCAATCCATATGTTATTGTAAAACAAATGACAAATAGATACCAAACATTTCTCTCAAGAATATAAATCATTATATAAATAGAACTATACATTAGTAATGATCATATACCAGTCAAAGTTTGACCTTATAATTCTAACATCATAATGAATGAATTAAACAATAATTCACTTTGTATTCATCTATCTATTTATGTCAGTATACATACAGATATATAGACAAGTCGAACTATATAATCATGGCATCAATTCATCTGAAAGGGTCAAAATTGGCTTATTTATTTACATGGATAAGATACATTCTATTAGTCAATATATATCTATATGTATATAGAAAAAGAAAAGATAAACAATTCTAGATTATTCTAATAACAAATATACAAATAAAAAAAGAATACGATAGAGAAAGGAAATATATTTCAACGAGAAAAAAAGTAAAAAGAAGATTCCATGTAGATGAAAGTGTTTGTAACTACTACTACTACTACCACCACTACTACTGAGAATCATAATAATAATGATAAAGTATTTGTTGTTCGTTTGTTTCCTTTTAAGTACATACATCTATGAAGAAAGAGATAGAGATAGAGAGAGATAGAGAGGGAGATAGAGAGTTATCTATCATTTTATTTTGTTTTATATCATCATATAGCGGCATAAATTTGTTATTCCAATGGTATGTAGTTCATATTAAAATAAGGTGTAATCACAGTAGGTGAAAGTGTAAAAGAAAAAAGAAAACAAAAATTTTTACAGGTGAATAATGTTAAAGAAAGAAGAAAAAATGTAGAGAAAATAAAAAGAAAAGAAAAGAGGCTACACATTCCATTTTTATTTCTATAAATATAAAATAGGCTTATTTATTCTTGCATGAAATAGGCTGAATAAATTTATATGTGCGTGCGTGCGTCAGTGAGTGTGTGTGTGTGTCTGTGTGTGTGTGTACATGTACATAGATGGTAAAATGTCTTACTGTTTCTTTTCTTTACTTTTCTTTTTTCTTTTCCTTTTTCATCTTTTTCTTTTAGTTAATTAAGACAATGTTGAGGTTTTAAATAATTTGAGGTGATAAAATCTTCAGAAATAAACACACACACACATACACAAAAATGATCAATGACCCTCTTGAATACACATATGATTAATTGAAATAAAGTAAGAAATTTCATAATTATATGTTATTACTAAGTGGTATAACATACAGATTACATGAGTGTACTTTTGTATTACAGTACAATTTACAACTAACTGATTATCATTAAATATGGTTTTATCTTTATGGGTAATATTATTACTATTTTAATAATTGAATTCATCAGTCAATTGAAGCTAAATCATCATGGAAAACCTAGATGCACTGAAGGGCGTTTCGTCCAAGCATGAAACTCCTAAGCAGTGCCTATCCACGGTCCAGCCTTATGAGATCTGAACCTAAGACCTATCGGTCTTGCACGTGAACGCTTGATCTCTAAACCATTGACCCGACCAGTATCCAACGGTATTAATGTCTAACTTTAACCAATCTACGAAACTGCGTCACTGTCCACTATTATCTTCAGTGGTTTGAATCTCGCGAGGCGGGATCGTGGATGAGCACTGCTGGATAGTTCCATACGAAAACGAAACCGCCGTTCAATAGTTCTATATTTTCCATGGTAATCTAACGTTAACTAACTCATGAATTCAACTATCAAATTACTATAATATCCATAAAAACCCTCTCTGATTATAACATTAGTATACAAAACTTTTGATGTCCCAAGGATAGGTGAACGATGAAATGAGTTAATAATTCAAGGAGGGTATCATTTCTTTAAAAATTTAAAGTATGTTCAACTTAATAAGTACAAACTCGTATTAAACCCAGGTTATAGCAAAATATAGGAAATACTATGTTGGGTTACTTGACCGAAGGCCACATTCTGAGTAATTCGACAGAATTTGATCAGCACTAAGGACTATAATAATATGATATTGGTCGCTGCTCAGTGATTAGTCAACGTAATTTAAGGATTGTTAGTTATAATTTAAAATAAGAGGATCTACTATCCAAAACAAAGTTAAAAATGAACGACACTTAGAAGTAATCAATTATTAAAAGATTATTGATATGGTAATTCATGTTCTTCTTATATCACTAATCACATTCATATTTAACTCTGACATTCAGAGGTGAATTGAATAGTATTATGGCAATTCGACGGTCTTAGTCAGCTATCACTAATACAATTCATGAGGCTAACTTCATCATAATTTCAAAAACTTTAAACACTATTTTTTACTTGTACTGGACCTAACTGTGTTGATGTATTATCCTTGAAACACAAGTTCAAATCTTATTTGGATGTATTCAACAGGAAATATTTGGATGGACAGAAAGTTTAACCGTACTAAGATGACCTCACTGTACAATTGAAACTACACATTATCAGGATGGATAGTTTAGTCAATTATTTCCGTATCTCACTTAATCTCATATATCTATCTAGACATTTTTTTATTCTTCAGTGTAAACAACTTAGGAAGTTAATATTTGATCATACTGTTTGCATTATAATTTCTTATTATATCTGAACAATTATGTTAAAATTGGAGTTACATACCATCGGATCACAGCTCAGTGGTCTAAAGATTCAGCGTTCATGTATGAAACTAAAAATCATGGGTTCAATCCTCAGTGGCGGTGTCGCAGGTGTGCCATTCTAAGGAATCCTAATCTAACTTTGATCGATTCATATCTACGCAACAAATTGATTGTTATTGGCTTATAATATCAAAATCAGCAAAAAAACTGCCTATTACAATTTCATTTACTAAAAACAAAAAAGAACACATTGTAAGCACCATCTAAACTGATATCATATCTACTATTAATCATTAATCAAGCTTGATAACTACGAAGTATCACTCTTTAGTACATCCTAATATTCACTGTTGATTAAAGGGATACTAGTACGTTATAAAATTAACAAATAACTCAATAATTATGATCAGAATAAGATTTGTGAAGATTATAGTAATTTTAATAGTTGGATTCATGAATCGATGTAAGCTAGACCATTATGGAAAACCTAGCACCAAGATGATATCCTGGAGTTCTAGTAAAAATCTGTGACCAATGGAGTCTAATTCATGTCGAATACAGATAGGTATCTACCTCAGACAATGAATGAATAGATTGAAATTAGACATTAACACCATTGGATATCTACCAATGATCTGGTGGTTTAGCCCTTGTGCGAGTCTGATAGATCCTAGATTTAAATCTCGTGAGGAGTGATCGTGGATACACACTGCTGAGGAGTCTTACAATAAGACAAAATGGCTGTCCACTGCTGCAAGGTTTTCTATGGTGATCTAGATTCACTTAATTCATGATCTTAACCATTACAAATACATTTCGTTCGATTTTTCCCTTTTTCTTTTTGAAAACATGACCATTTTTCTTATGTTTACTTACCATAGGGAGTTTCTGAATTCTTCGTGTAATCAGAGTAAATGATATATATATATATATATATATATATATATATATATATATATAATTCTATAAATTGTTTTCCTATTTCTATGAATAGGGAAATTTCCATTTGACCAAATGAAAATAAATCTTGATTATTTTTTAAAGAAAAAAATTGGGTGGGAGGAGGATGGTGTTGATGGTGGTCGAAAAGTAAGAAGATAAAACTAATGGTGTTAACCGTATGAAACTATTCTCATTCATTTTAGTGTATTTCTTCTTCTTCTTCTTCTTCTTCTTCTTCTTCTCCTTCTTGTTGTTGTTTATCTCGTTCTTCTTCTTACATAATTTATCCTTTAAATCTTTTGTTGATTTTCCCATGTTTACAATTAAGAATAAAATTTATTTGTTCAAATTGATTATTACAATATTTCTATATTGTATTTTGAATACTCCATCTGTTATTAATACTATTACTGTTATTATTACTACTATTATTATTATTCATTTTAGTTAGTAGTATATAATCAACATTACATCTCTGTTCTCTTCTATTTATTTAATCTTTTTATTGAAAAAAGAAATTTCTTTTCCTGGAAAGAGAAATATATTTCTATGTTGATCTGACAAAACATTATGAATGGTGCAGTTATATGTGTATATCATCTTATGTACATGTATGTGTGTATGTATGTATGTGTGTATCTATGCAATGAATAATTGAATGGATAATCAAAAGGTAAAATGTAAATGAAAGTAATTGAGAGGTTGAAGAACAACAACTTTTTTATATTAAGGTCAGATAAAGTATTCGTATATGGTGGAATTGAATTTATTCATCATGAATAATTTACAGTTGATTGATTGTACTACTACTACAACTACTAATACTC